GAAAGCATCCGGTCCTGGACTTTTGTTTGCTGGGAGATTCTTGATTACTGATTCAACCTTCTTACTAGTAATTGCTCTGGTCACATTTTCTGTTTCTTCGTGATTTAGTCTTGGTAGGTTGTATGTTTCGAGGAATTCATCCATTTCTTCTAAGTTACCCAATTTGTTGACATTCACTCATTTGTAGTGTCTCTTACAACCGTTTATTTCCTTGGTTTCACTTGTAACTTCTCTGTCATTTCTGATTTTATTTATTTGAGTCCTCTCCCATTTTTTTACAGGTTTGTCACTTTTGTTCATCTTTTTAAAGAACCAGCTCTTAGTTTCATTGATCTTTCCTATTATCTTTTTAGTCTGTTTAATTTATTTGCACTCTGATCTTTATTATTTTCTTCTTTCTTCTGCCTTTGGGCCTCATTTGTTCTTCTTTGTCTCGTTCCTTTAGGTGTAAAGTTAGATTGTTCATCTGAGATTTTTCTTGTTTCTTGACATAGGCATTTATCACTATGAACTTGCCTCTTAGAACTGCTTTTGCTGCATCTCAGATTTGGGTATGTCGTATTTCCATTTTTTTGGTCTCAAGGTTATTTTATTTCTCTTTAGATTTCTTCTTTGACCCATTGGTTGTTGATTAGCACGTTGTTTAATCTCCACACATGTATCAATTTTCCAGTTTGCTTAGTGTAATTTCTATTTTCAAACCATGTGGTCAGAAAAGATGTTTGATATGACTTAAGTCTTCTTAAATGTACTGAGACTTGTTTTATGGCCTAACATAGGGTCTCTCCTGGAGAATGTTCCATGTGCACTTGAGAAGAATGTGTGGTCTGCTGCTATTAGATGGAATGTTTTGTATACATCTCTTAAGTCCATTTATTCTAATGTGTTGTTCAAGGCCAGTGTGTCATTTTTTTCCAAAAGTTTTTTTGTTTGTTTGTTTTTGTTTTTATGGTGAGGAAGATCAGCCCTGAGCTAACATCCATTTCCAATCTTCCTCTTTTTGCTTGAGGAAGATTTGCCCCAAGCTCACATCTGTGCCAATCTCCCTGTATTTTGTATGTGGGATGCTGCCACAGCGTGGCTCAATGAGCAGTGTGTAGGTCCACGCCCGGGATCCAAACCTGCAAACCCAAGGCCACCTAAGCAGAGTGCATGAACTTAACCAGTATGCCACCAGGTCGGCCAACAGTGTGTCCTTACTGCTTTTCTGTGTGAATGCTCTATCCATGGACATAACTGGGGGTATTAAACTCCCCAACTAGTATTGTCTTGCTGTCACTTTCCCCCTTTAGGTCTCTTAATATTTATTTGATGTATTTATGAGCCCCTCTGTTGGGTACATAAATACTTAGAGATGTTATATCTTCTTCTTAGATTGACCCTTTTATCATATGTAATGATGAATCTCTTTGTCTCTTTCTACAGTGTTTGTTTTAAAGTCTATTTTCTGTGATATGAAAATAGCTACCCCAGGTTTTTGGTTTCCATTTGCATGAAACATCTTGTTTCATTCCTTCACCTTCAGTCTGTGCGTCCTCACATCTGAAGTCAGTATCCTGTAGGCAGCATATAGATGTTTTGTTATCCAATCAGCCACTCTGTCTTTTGATCAGAGAACTTAGTCCATTTACATTTAGAGCGATTATTGATAGGCTGTACTTATTGTCATTTTGTGAATTGTTTTCTGGCTGTTTTGCAGTTCTCTCTTCCTCTCTCGCTTCCTTCCCTCGTGTTGCATGACTTTCTGTAGTGTTACGCTTAGGTTCCCTTCTCGTTATCTCGTGTGTATCTACTGTGTGTGTTTGCTTTGTGGTGACGAGGCTCACGGATACCTGATCCCGGTGTAAAGCTCTACATCTTTACTCCCCACCACGTTTTATATCCTCAATGTCACATTTTACATCTTTTGTCTTGTGTCTCCCTTAACTAATCATTGGACTTAGTTGTTTTTCCTACTTTTGCTTTTAACTTTCATATTACATTTATAAGTGATTAAGCCACTATTTTTACTACATATTTATCTCTACTGGTCAGATTTATACTTTCACATGTTTCCCTGTTACTAATTAGTGCCCTTTCTTTTCAGCTTAAAGAAGTCCCTTTAGGGGCTGGCCCGGTGGCGCAGCGGTTAAGTGCGCACGTTCCGCTTCGGCGGCCCAGGGTTCGCCAGTTTGGATTCCAGGTGCGGACATGGCACCGCTTGGCACGCCATGCTGTGGTAGGCGTCCCACATAGAAAATAGAGGAAGATGGGCACGGATGTTAGCTCAGGGCCAGTCTTCCTCACCAAAAAGAGAAGGATTGGCGGCAGTTAGCTCAGGGCTAATCTTCCTCAAAAAAAAAAAAAGAAAAAAGTCCCTTTAACATTTCTTGTAAGGCCAGTTTAGTAGTGATGACTTCTTTTAGCTTTTGCTTGTCTGGAAATCTCTTCCTCTCCCCTTCAATTCGGAATGATAACCTAGCTGGGTAGTTTTCTCGGTTGAAAGTTTTTCCTTTCAGCACATGCCACTCCGTTCTGGCCTGCGAAGTGAGAACCCTGCCATGGTCTCACGGGGGTTCCCTTGTACGGAACAAGTTGGCCTCCTCTTGCTGTTTCTAAGATTCTCTCCTTGTCCTTAACTCTTGGCATTTTGATGCCAATCTGTCTTAGCATGAGTCTCTTTGGATTCATCTTATTTGGACCCTCTGGGCTTCCTGGGTCTGGATGTCTGTCTCCCTGCCCAGGTTAGGGGAGCTTTCAGTCTCTATGTCCTCAGGACTCCTGCCCCTTCTTCTCTCTGTTCTCCTTCTGGGACCCCTGTAATGCGAGTGTTGGTCTGCTTGATGTCGTCCCATAAGCCCCTCGTGCTATCTTCACCATTTTTCACTCTTCTCTTTGCTGCTCCGACTGGGTGACTCCCCTGCCTGGTCCTCAGTGGGCCGACCCTCTGTTCTGGTTCGCCTGTCTGCTCTCCCACCCTCTGCTGTGTCGTTCAACTGAACTGAAGGCCCCACCTTTCATGAGACCTGTGGGTTCCGGTTCTCCATGACCGATCATCTGCTGGAGCGAGGACCCTGAGCCGGCGCCCCGTGCGAGGCAGAGATGGAAGCCTTCTGTGGGAGCCCTGCTGGGCCATCCTGGGGCTGACCCCTCATCCTCTGGGGGGATTTCCCAGGAGCAAGCTCGCCAGGTCAAAGCACAGGCCCGTCTTTGTGTCCAGGAAGGAACTGCCATTCGAGGTTTCCAGTCAAGCAGATTTCCCTGCAGCTTCTGCAGCTTTGGGTCTTGTCACTTTTCTTCATTTTTAGTATCAATGATACCTCACTGAGGTTTGATTGTTGCCATGATGAGTGTATCTCCACTCCCTTGTCTGCACCGCAGCCTCTGTTCCTTAAACGGCCCCCTGCTGCCCCAGGACCTTTGCACATGCCGCCCCCTCTGCCTCAGGGAAGCCCTCCTGGTGCCTTCAGCCCAGGGCAGTCTCTGGCGCCAGAGGCCCCTGGAACAGACACATGTAACTACATAGTTTCTCCTTTCAACAAGAGCTCGGCCTCACTCCCAGCTGGCCCCTGACGACTGGGTGCAGGACAATGGCACAGGGTTCCCCAAGGGCTGCCCAGGAGCGTGGGCACCCCCACGTGCTTTTCCTGTGTCCCCAGTCCATGGCTCTCAGGCCAAACCAACGGGCACCCACTCAGCTGCAGCCTAGATCCCTTGCTCCTGACGCACCTCCAGGCCAGGGGGCTGCCTGGAGGAAGGGGCCTGCAGGGCTGAGAGGCTGAACAAGGTCAGGATCCCAGGAGAGGCCAGAGCCTTCGTCCCTCCCTGGAGTCCCCTGGGGAAGAGGCAAGAAAAGCTGAAAGGTTTGGGAGGGTCCTGGGGAGCCAAGGACGAAGCGGCAGAGGAGGGGGCCACAAGGGGTCAGCTGGCCCACCTCTGCCAGCCCGGGTGGGGGTGACCAGCGCCGAAGGACAGATAGGGCCGGGTGGGGACCGAGGCAGGCCCCCGTGCCATGGCCAGGCTTCTGCACCCTCAGCGTGGCAACGCCCCTCCTGGAGACGGGCAAGCAGAGGCCCGGAGAGGACAGGGCGGCTGTGGGCTCAGCCTCCCCCACCTCCCGCCCCCAGCGATGACTACTTGTCCCTGGAGGGGCCCCGCTGGGCGCCGGCCATCAAGCAGGCCACACGCTGGAAGTACACGCCCATGGGGCACGACGCGGCCGGCCAGCTGTGGTACACCGGCCTGACCAACTCGGACCCCCGTGAGGCCTGGTACACGCTCCCCAGGTCCCCGGACAGCCCCTACCGCGAGGCCTACGCCCGCTGGCACGGATGCTGCAGCCATCGGGAGCGGAGCCTGCCGTCAGGTGAGCGCCCGGGCCCCCGGCCAGCCCCAGGGAAGGTGGGACAACGGAGAGCGGAGATGACCTCCCCCCTCCCCACCCCCCCTGCAGCCTACACCCTGCGCCTCCGCGAGACCGCCTGGTACGACCCGGTGGTCCCCGCGCAGTCCGGGGCACCCCGCCCGCGCTGGGGCAGCATGCTGTGGAAGGACAGAGCCACCCCCGGCAAGGAGTACGGTGAGGAGTGGCCGAGCCAGGGGATGGGGACGGGGACGGGTGGCCCCCAGAGGGGGGAACCTGCCCGGGGACGGAGGTGGGGCCAGGAGGTGACAGGTCCTGGCCCTGCAGTGGTCAACAGACACCCGCACGGGGTGGAGCCGCTGTGGCGGGCATCCGATTATGTGCCGTTCCTGTCCGCGGCCCAGCGCCCGCGCCACACCAGCCAGATGTACCAGCAGTGGAACCTGGAGCCTTACTGTCCCTCCACCGGCCAGCGGGCCCCAGCTGTCCCCACGGCCCCTTACTGATACAGACCTGCTGCCCAGGCCGCCGTGTGTGTGTCCACATGGGGACGGGATGGGGATGGGCGGGCTGCTGGGGGGCGCTAGTGACTGAGCCCGGGCGGACGCAGGGCCCCAGCCGTCCCCTCCCCTCCTGGTCCCAGCAAACAGCCAGCGAGTCCTTGTGCGCCCACCGGCGGCTCTTTATTCACTGTTGGCGCAGCCAGGAGCTGGGCTCACCTGCCGGCACCCCGGGCCTGGGCAGCCCCAGTGGGGACTCCTGGCTGCCTCCGTGACACACTGTCCCCTGGCAGCGGCCGGGAGACCCCAGCGGGGCCGAGGGTGAGCCAGGAACCGGGGCTGAGCCCGGCACAGCCCTGGCCCCTCACGTCCTGCCCCCACACAACAGAGAGAGGGCCCCAGACCATCCAGAGCTGTACCGGGGCACCCCCAGACCTGCGAGGACCCCACGGCCCTGGGGACCTCAGGGCCTAGCTCAGGGGCCCTGTCCCAGCGGGATAAGCCGCCAGGGTCCTGCGTGTCCCGCCCTCGCCCGCCGGCCCGCAGCCAGGCAGGGCGCTTCTCGGCCTCAGCTGGACGTGGAATGTGCAGTCGTGCTTCCTCCACACGGGGGGTCGTGGCGGGGTCAGGGTTGGGCTCCAGGGTCCCCTGCAAGAGAAGGCGGTGGGGTCAGTGAGGGTGTCTGTCCCTGTCCCACCAGGCGTGGCTGTTTGGGCTTTTTGGGGGGGAGGGGCTACAACTCACAGCTCCGCAGGCGGATCGGCCAGACGAGGAGGCTGCACAGGGAGAGGGTGGCGGCCACGCCCACGCCGCCCGTCACGGCCACCATCACCCAGTGGTAGAAGCCCACGCAGGCCCTGCAGCACAGCTCCAGGCTGGGGGAGGGGGACGCGGCCGTGAGCGGACGCCGAGGGACCCCCATGCCCTTCCTCCCGCTCAGCCGGGCACAGCCCCGCCTTTCCCGGCACCAGGGGCCCCCTCGACCCCCTCCTCCCCTCCCTCCCACCTTCAGCCGGTGCGGCTCCGCCTCACAGGCCACCCCAGGCCCGCCCACTTCTCCCCGCTCCGCCTCCGCCTGGGCCCCCAGCGTCGCCTCCCGGACCAGCGCCGGCCCCTCCTCCTGGTCCCCGTCTGTCCTCCCCGCGGCCGCCACCAGAGGGCGCCCGGAGCCCGAGTCCGTCCCGCCGCCTCCGCCCGCAGCCCTCCAGGCTCCCCTCCTTGGGCCCCCCAGGCCCCGCGCGACCTGCCCCGTCCCCTCCCCGCCCTCCCTCCTCCCTCTGTCCCCTTCCTCCCTCTGCTCCAGCCACAGGATCCCCCTGGCTCCTCCTCCCACACCCCAGGCCCCGTCCTGCCCCAGGGCTGTCCCTCCCCGTCTGCCAGAACTACCTCCCCGACGTCCAGGACCAACGTCCCCCGACCCCGGGAGGCCCTCCCTGACCTGCCGCCCCGCCAGGCCGTGAGTGGTGTCCTCCCCACCCCTCACCACTGGTCTGCGTCACACATCGGTTAGTGCGATGAGTGGAGAGGCGGGTGCTGCCCCAGCTCGCCGAGCACAGACGCCAGGCCGGCTTTGGTTCCGGGTCCCCGGCTTCTACAAGGTGTGAACTCGGGGGTCTGGAACCCCACGTTCTGAGGGCCGGAGGTACGCAGATTCCAGGTTCCCCCAGCCCTGCCCACTCACGTTCCCCCATACACCTGTATGCTGTGCCCTCAGCCCCTGGCACATGAGACAGTGTTTGTTGAATGAATAAACGAAGTGCCTGAGGACAGGAACAACTTGGTCTCCCCAGCCTGTGAACCGCCTAGACCCAAACCCAAACCGCCAAACCCCCAGACCTGGCAGTGCCTGGCACACAGCACACACTCAGGACACTCTTACTAAATGAACGAACAAATGGGTGACACTCACGAGCAAGGGTGCAGGCTCTGGATGACCATGACCGCCAGCCCATTGGCCACCTTATCTGAGAAGCTCATGGCGCCGTACACGAAAGCTCCGCTGTGCTGGGGGACACGCGCAGGGGGTCAGCACCCACGGCCGGACCCCGGTCCCCGACCCCCACCCGGCCCTGCCCCCAGCCCTACCGTGTGCGGGCCGATGAGGTCGGCCGTCATGGCCAGTGAGGTGACGAGGATGGTGGCACAGCCCCCGCCCAGCAGCACGGCGGCCACGTACACGGCCATGCCCAGCTCATCGACCAGCACCACCCAGGCTGCGAAGGCCAGGATCACCAGGAGGCCCACGAAGTAGGTCATCTGCAGAGGAGGCGGGCCCCCCAGTCAGGCCCACCTCGCTGGGCGCCAGGAGCCTGGCGCTTGCCCTCTCTGGTCTTCAATCCACTGCCCTCCTCCCAGGAATGAGGGGGTCGAGCTAGACCGTCCCTAAGGAGCCCCAGCTTTGAGCTCAGAGGATCCTGGGACTGTGGGAGCCCGAGGTGCCGGGAGCTCCGAGGAGCCGACATCCTAGGCCCAGGCCGTCGCACGCGGCTGCCACCGGAGGCAGTGGCTGCCCACATGGAAACGCAGAGCTACTCAAACAAAACAAAGGCTTCTGTACCTCCGTCTCGGGGCCACCCCCTGCCCAGCCCTGTGGTCAGTGCCGAACGTTCTAGCGCTCTGCAGCCCCGAGATCCAGGAACCCGGTTCCCAGGCCCGGGGCTTCCACGGGGCGCCCACGCCGCGGTCTGGATCCCGGGGTTCCGGGGGCCTGAGCTGCGAGGGCGCGGCGGCCACCACTCACGTTCCTCCCGATGCACTTGTTCACCGGCTTCATGAGGAAGGACGAGCAGAAGCCGCTGACGTACATCACCAGGGGGATGGTGGCGATGAACTTCTGCGGGCGGACGGGCGCGGGCTCAGCGGGGTCCTCGCGGGCGACACCCCCCACCCCCACCCCGGGCGCCCCGGCCGCTCACCTTGGGCAGGTTGAGGGAGTAGGTGAGGTACATGGCGATGTACGTCTGGGACAGGTTCACGATGAGCCTCGTGCTCATGTACAGCAGGCCCACCTGTGCGCAGACGGACAGAGGGATGCTGGGGGTCAGGGGGCTCTCCCGCCAGCAGGGGGCGCCCCTGCGCTGCGCCTGATCCATTAGTAGCCACGGCCCGGGCCGGCGCCGTGGGAAGAGCACGCTGATCGATTAGTCATGTCTGCCCCGGGTGCGGACTGCAGAAGGGGCGCGTGTGCCCATTCCGGCCCTCCCTGCCCAGCCCGCGGAGGGGGTGTCCGTGCGCCCCCCGCCCAGCGTACCTGGTAGAAGGAGGGCTCGCGGAGCCAGTGCTTCCAGAGCAGCAGCGGCCGCGCGGTGGCCGGGGCCAGCAGCGGGCTGCGCTCGTCCGGCTCCTGCGCCGGTGGCCGGCGCCTCTCCCGGGTGCCCAGGTGGAACAGCAGCGAGAAGACGGCGCCCACGCCCACGACGCACAGCGACAGGGTCTGCGGACCGGGCGGGGGGCGGTCAGCGGCCGCAGCTCGAGCGCAGGGCTCGGGGCGGCCCGCCGCGGCCCCAGCTCACCCGGAACACCGGCACGTCCTGGACCCCCAGGTGGTCGCCGGCCTCGTCGGGGGGCCCCTCGCGCGCAGAGCCCTGCAGGCGCAGCAGCAGCCAGGCGGCGCCGAAGACGGTGATGTTGGCCACCACGGTGAAGGCGTACCTGCGGCGGGCGGGGGTCAGCGCGGCCTGGACCCCCGGCACCCCCTCCACGGCCGCCACCCGAATCCGAATCCGAATCCGGGCAGAACGGGGCGGGGGGGCCTCTGGATCCCACCAGGCCTGCTTCCTTCCTGGAAGTGGGGACAGCCTCCCCCGGAGGTCCAGGTGCGATGGCGCAAGACTGGCGGTGACGCGCTCGCAGGCAGAGGCCCCCGGGGCGGCGTTGGGCAACCCCGTGTAGGGGCCTCCAGCCCACCCGCGGCCGGAATGGGGAACTCAGGCCGCGGCAGTGGGGACGGGGGCCTCGAGAAAGCCACCGCTGCGGCAGCAGGAGGAACCGGCACTGACAGGGCGCCCACCAGGAGCAGCTCCGGCCACCCGCCCCTGCGCACGTGCTGTCCCTGTGCCCCTCCCACGCGCACGTCCTGGGGGCACCGCTCTGCCCAAACCCTGGCCTCGGGCGGTGACAGCCTCTCAGGTATGCAAGGGTTAAAGCAGGTGATCCGCATGTCGGGTCTAGAACTGTGCCCTGCACACAGCAGGCGCTCCATAAATGCTCCCATTGTCGTCATATCCGGAATCCCCTTCAGCAGCGCAAGCAGGTTGACAGATAAGCCGGGTGCCAACTGCACCCACATGTAGCCGGCGGGATTCTAAGACGGCCCTGGGGAGCCCCACACCCCGTCTCCCCTTGGGGACGGGGCCTGTGAAGGTGACGGGCTGTCACTCCCATGTCTAGATAAAGAGACTGAGCGATGCAACGAAGGGAGGTTACCCTGGGTGGGCCTGACCTAATCAGGTGATCCTCAGACCGAGGACTTGGCCCTTCCCTGAGATCAGAGAGGGTCCTGCTGGCCTCAGAGCAGCTAGCCACCCTGAGTGCCACGTCTGCCACCAACTGTGTGAGCACAGGGGAGGGACCCCAGGCCTCAGGTGACACCCCAGTCAGGGCTGAAGCCTGGACCGTAGCCTCGAGACAGACCCAGAGGCAGAAAACCCAGCGAAGCCGAGCCGGACCCCCGACCCGCGGACGCTGCACAAGGATCCAGCTGCTAACTCTGCGGCCGTTTGTCCCGCGGCCACAGCTGCCCGACACCCACCCGCGCCTGGGAGGTACCTGAGGGCCGTGAGCTCCACCTTCTCGTGGTCGCTGGTGACGAGCTCGGGGATGAGGCTGAGGTGCGCGATCTGCGTGGCGGCCCAGCCGAACTGGAAGACGACGATGAAGGGCCCGTAGTAGAGGAGGGCGGCCCACTCGGGCGTGGCGGCCCCGCAGCCCAGGCACGGGCTGAAAATGAACGGGAAGGACAGCAGCACGCACACGGTGCCTGCGGGCGGGGCGACGGGATGCTGAGCCGGGCCGGGCCGGGCCTCCACCCGCCAGCCAGCCCGCGCTCCATGCCCCTTGTGTCGGATGGGGAGACCGAGGCACAGAGCGCCTGAGGTCACGAAGCAGGCGGAGAGGGGAGGGGGTGGCAGGTGGGGAAACTGAGGCACAGAGCGCCTGAGGTCACGAAGCAGGCGGAGAGGGGAGGGGGTGGCAGGTGGGGAAACTGAGGCACAGAGAGCCTGAGGTCATGCAGCAGGCGGAGAGCGGAGGGGCCTTCCCTCCCAGCTCCTGTTGAGGGTCCTGTGGGGCCACCAGGAGTCAGGAGGCCCAGGTGACGCTGGGGGTCTCGGCTGGACCCTGCGCTCCGAGCCTTGTGTCCCCGTCACCTCAAGAGGGGGCCTCTCCCTGGAGAACACTCCAGTAGCTCAGAATAAGCCCACGTCCGTCCTCCCTGCGGCCCCCCCAGGCCCCTCCCTGCCCTCCCTCCTCCCTCTCTCCCCCTCCTCCCTCTGCTCCAGCCACACAGGCCTCCTCACTCTTCCTCCAACACACCAGGCCCGGGCCTGCCCCAGGGCCTTTGCACCAGCTGTGCTCTCTGCCTGGAACATTCTTCCCCTCACATCCCATTAGGGCCAGCTCCTTTTCATCTCTCGGGACTCAACTCAAATGCCACCTCCTCAAGGCAGCCCTCCCTGACCAGCCCGGTCACCAGCAGTCCCCTCCCCGCCCGGCACACATCTGGACGCTGCTTTCTGTCCTTCACCCCGCTCGGCACACCTGGGAATTCTGCGTCTGTCCATCTGCCTGTTTCCTGCCTGCCTCCCCCACCGGACCGTGGGCTCCGTGGGGTGGGGAACAGTCCCTCTGGTCACCTCTGTGTCCCTAGCCCCTGGCACGGGGACGGGCACAGCAATGAGTCACCATGAGTCAGGTGTGAGCCGGACGGCTTCCAGGGGGACCGGGCCGCAGAGGGGGCACCGAGCATCCTGCCTCCCCTTCCTCTCTCCTCCACCTCCCTTCCCCTCTGCCCCCTCCCTCCTCTCCGGTGGCAGCTGGCCTGCCTCCGTCCCCAGCCGGGGGGTGACCTCATCCCAGGCCCGGCCCGCCCTGGGGCCTGGAACCGGGAACTGAAAGCAAAACCTCCTTCGTTGCCGTTTGTTTCTCTGGAACTGAGGCCGAGCGGCCCCCAGGGCCTGGCCTGACCGTGGACTCAGCTCCAAAGAATGTGCTGCCCCGGCCGGATGGGTTAACCATTGCCAGGCTCGGCTGCCCGCTGGGGACGACGGTGAGTGACTCCGCCCGCTGGGCCTCAGTTTCCAGAAACGGACAATAAAAATACGAGGCTCGCAAGGTCAGCGTGAGAATTAAGAGTTCAAGTGTGAAAGGGAGAGTTCCCACCGCTCTGAACCCCTGCCCCCCTCAAAGCTGAGTTACTTTACAGCTTTGCACAAGCTGTTTCAACGGCCTGGGGTGTCAGTTTACAGACACACTCCTATTCATCCTTCAAAACCCCAAAGGTAATGTCTCCACCTCCAGAGCTCTGCTGCTTACGAGGCCCAGTCCCCCACCTGCCCCAGCCCAGACCCCACTGGAACGTCCACGTCTGGCGCTGAGGGTCCTCCCTGGGCTAGAGGGGGAGCCCCGAGGGCAGTATAAGGGAGAGTCCCCCCCCACCACCCACAGACTCGGGGCAAGAATAGAGAAGTGGGCACTGTTGCGGAGGTGACCTTTACTCAAGCCACCTTATCGGGCAGCACGAGGGGTGGCCAGCTTCCTTTCCCTACCGATCCTCGGCCCGAGGGTTGGCCTGAGGTGGGGGAGGGGCACAGGTGGAGCTTGGTGTGGGGCAGGGGCACCCAGCCCGGCCCGTCTGCATGAGCACAAAGCCTCCTCTTCTGGATTGACATGGGTGGTTCTGCTGGGGACCCAGGTCCTGGCTCCGGGGTCAGGAGGGACCCCCGCGGAAGCTCAGGCCTCCCACCCACAAAACAGGCCGACTGTCATGCCTGGGGCTCCCACCTCAGGGCCTTTGCACACGCGGTGTCCTCCACCGGGACCCTGTCCCCAGCTGGCTCCTCCTCGGGGGTCCCCCTCTCTCTGGCCCGGAAGCCATCCTGTCGCTCATCGAGCAGCTTATCTCACTATTGTGGACGAGGTCACCTCCGAGACTTGGGCTCGGCTCCACCTGCGACCCCACCATGAGCCCGGAGAGGACACCTCAACGGCCGTCCCTGACGTGGTGGCCACCGCCAGCCGCCCGCCTCTCCCTGTCCCCTCCCAACTGCTAGGGTTTCACGGGACGCTCAGCGCCCGGGACACCTGACACCCCGCCCCAGCTGTGGCTGCACAGGTGACTGCTGCACCTGCAAACGTGACCGGGCCGAGCGTCACTGTCCCCTGGCTTCTGGAAAGCCGCCGCCCGGAATTCCGGGGGTGGGCGGGATTCCTGGCTGTGCCCCCCCAACGCCAGGCGGCCGGATACCAGGATGCGGGCGCCTCTGCCCGGCCGAGCTGCAGGGACAGTGGCTGGCTTGTCACCAGGCCCCGGGTCCAGCAGGCAGTGTCACCAGCATGCACTGGGCAGGGCGCCCAGCCCCATGCCTCCTCCGCTACCCGCAGCCCCCAGGGCCGCCAGCCAGCACGGCCGCGACGCTCGACTCCCAGGGCTGTGCCCCCGGTCACCAGGTCACCCGAGGTGAGGCAGGAGACGGACACACAGACGGACGGACACGGGGGGTGGCTCTGGGCAGCCTGACCGTCACTCAGACAGACAGAGTCATCCTGGGTGGTCACCCTGACAGACAGACCGGACAGACGGAGAGAGGAGGCGCTGGACAGTCAGGCCCAACCCAGAGAGGGTTCAGGGTGCCCCGGGGTCAGACAGACGGACAAAGGGAAGGGGCACTGGAGGGAAAGATAAACAGGTGGAGGGGGCTCTGCAGGTCAGAGGGCAGCCATGAGGCAGACAGACAGAGCGGGGAGGTTCAGGCCACAGGACAGACAGACAGAGGGGGGAGGCCCAGGCCAGGGGACAGAGGGGGGAGGCCCAGGCCTCGGGCGGATGGACAGAGGGCGCACGGACAGACGGGCCGGTCCCCGCGGGCGGGCAGGCGCGAGCCCCGGCGGCGGACTCACCGACCAGGTGCCAGGCCTTGCGGGGCCCGCAGCGCGCGCAGCGGCCGGCGGCGCGGTCGGCCTCGTAGCCCACGAGCGGCGTGCAGAGCCCGTCGGCCACCTGGCCGAGCAGCAGCAGGAGGCCGGCGCCGCGCGAGCTGTAGGCGCGCACCGAGTGCAGGTAGAGCAGCAGGTACGTGAACCACATGGACGCGCACAGGTCGTTGAGGAAGTGGCCCACCGCGTAGCTCAGCCGCGCCGCCAGCGACAGCGCCCGCGGCGCCGGCCCCGCTCCGGCCGCCGGGGACCCGGGCACCATGGCGCGGCCGCGCCCCCGGCCGGGGCCCGCGATCCCCGCGCCCGCCCGCCCCGCGATCCCCGCGATCCCCGCGCCCGCCCGGCCGAGCGAGCCTGCGCCCGCCGGACCCGCGAACCCCAGACTCCGGCCCGGGCGGGGCGGGGAATCCCCGGAGCGGCGGCCGCCTGCGCCAATCGGGGCCGCGCGCCGGGGCCCCAGAGCCAATCACCAGGTGGATGGGCGTGGCCTCGGGGTTAGCCAGGCCTCCACACCCGGCACCGACGGGGTCGCGCGGTCCTAGAGCCCGACTACGCGAAATGAGGTTTGCGGGACTCCCCACCGAGGTGGGGGGCGTCACCAGGGGCGCCCTCACCCCGCCTCCCTGCCCGCGCCACCCCAGCCTGCCTGCAGCTTTCCGAGGCCTCATGTGGGCCGGGGAGGAGGTAGTGGGCTGGGGGCGTGGGGGGGGTGGGGAGGTCTGAGTCGGAGCTGCCCTTGGGGTCCAATGACATCCTGGACCGGAGAGACCCAATCGGACGCATTAGTTCTAATTAATTAGTTATTAACGATAATAATGGGGACCATCATAATAATAACACCAGCTGGCATTTAATGAGCGCTGACTGTGCCAAGCGCCCACGTGGATTTTCTCGTCCCGGCCGGGCGGGGAGGCGGAGCGAGTGTCTCTCCCATTTAACCCTCCAGGAACAGGCCGGGCGAGGGGACGGGCGCCCAGGGGCGCTCGGTGAGTCATGCGCGTGCGACTCCGGCCGGTGCTCCCCATCCCCGCCAACGGCCCTCCCACGACTGGGTCACACAAAGCGGTTTCAAGTTCCCCCAAGCGTTGGCACCGTTCCCCCACCCGCCTCCAGGCCTCCTGGGGTAGCGGCTCAGAACCCGCTCTCCGGAGCCGCAATCAATCGTGGGGGCCGGAGCCAGCCCCCCACCCCCTGCCAGCTGTTCCCTTAACTCGGGGGGGGGGGCCTCAGTCTCCCTGCTCTGGAATGGGTATGACGGATGTTAAAAGTGGCGTAAATGTCAGCTTTTAATATTCTCAGCCAGAAAGCCTTCTCTGCACCGCCTCCTCCCCTTCAGTCACGACTCTCGGTCCCCCCCAGTTCCCTGGGCTGCCCCCATCCCGCCCTGACATCAGCTCTCCCCTGGTCGAAGGGTGGCCATATAGGCAGAGAATCAGAAATGCAGACGCAAATCTGGCAAACGACAGGGAGCCAGTGACAAGCAGGAGGCTCAGGCTGCCCAAGGGACCCCCAGCGCAGACCCCCACGCGGTGACACACCGCCCCCCTGCCACACCCGCTCTTTCATGAACAGAAGCCTGAAGTCTGGGTGTGGCCTGGTCACGGGGACTCAGAGGCAATCTAGGGGGGCGGGGGGAGATAGGGGTAGACCGCACTGGAGAGATGGACTGATAAGCGAGATAAGAAAGTCAATTCTTTCCTCCCCGCAGGGCACGTCCCGGTCAGGTTGCTCCCAGGGAACTCAAAGACGCTTGAAATACCTGGAACCTAGGCTTCTGAAGTAGGGTCCTCGTCCCCTTTTGTCCCACCCCGGCCCCAGGAGTGCTGACACCGCTTCCTGCCCATTCTACAGATGAGGAAACTGAGGCTCAGAGGGGCGGGCCCAGCTGGGCGGGAAAAGGGGCTCAGGGCTTGCTCTTACCCGCCTCCCCGATGGTCCGGGACCCACGGAACCCTCCCAGCAGCCCTTTGGGGCAGATCGGACCCGGGGAGGAGGGGAGGTTGGTGGAAGTCTCTGGGTTCTCATCCTCTTGGAGCCAGCTAGTATTTCCTGGGCCTGAGTCTGTGGGGAGGCAGGAGGGAGGCTGCCTGACCCTGGGGCCCAGCAGGGGGAGCTGCCCCCCCCGCCCCCCGTGTCATTCATTCATTCATTCAGTGGATCTGGCCTCACGCTGGGCGAGGCTGGAGCCCCCTAGTCTGAGCCGGGACAGCCTTCCAGGGTCAGTGCCAGGGCTGGAGGAATCCTCCCGGGAGGGAGATGGAATGACAGGGAGTCAGGACTTCACCCTCGGGTCACAGGGAGCCATGGGAGGGTTCTGAGAGAGGCTGGGAAGGTCAGATAAAGAATCCTGGGGGTGGGGGTGGGGCGGTCTGTCCCAGAGCCGGAACCAGAAGAGGGCACATCAGAGAGGGGTGTCCGATGGACCTGGGAGCTCAGAGAAGGCCTGCCTGGAGGGAGGGATGACGGGAAAGGGAGATGAATGCCAGAGGGGGAGGACAGACGCACAGACAGGCTCGGGTCAGCAGAGATGGGGACAGCTTTTGATGTCCCCAGAGCGTTCCCAGCGGCCCCGACGCCGACGCCGGCCTGGCGTCCCCCCTCCCTCGGCCGGACATCGGATATCCCGGGGCGGGGGGGCAGGGGGGACGCTGGCTTTCATCCTCTGCCACGCAGGCCCAGGGTCTGGGGGGAGGGAGAGGTGGGAGGAAGGGAGGAGAGAGGGGAGGGGAGGGGAAAGGAGGGGGGTTCTGAGGCTCAGCCTACGCCTCCTTAGATGCCAGGGTGGCTGTGGGCAGGGAAGGCCACGGCCAAGCTCAAACCCAGGCAGTCGCATGCCAGCCACTGAGCCTCAGTTTCCCTTTCTGTAAAATGGGGGTGAGAACACCACCACGGAGGAGGTTCCTGGGAGGCCGGTAAGGACTTCCAGGCCCCACGCAGGGTTTCTCAAGCTGGGCGCTATGGCCATGTGGCAGCTCATCCTGCTTTGCGGTGGGGGGCGGACCTGGGCACCGCAGCGTCCGCCCAGCAGGTGACAGGAGCACCCCCGAGTCGTGACAACCCAAAATGTCTCTAGACCTTGCCCAGTCCCCCCCTGGGGGGCCGAATCGGCCCCGGGGGGGGGGGGAAGCCATCCACCAGAAAATTCTCCGTATCAGGGGATTTCTCCTTCGTGGACAAGACGAGCTAACGCTTTCTGCGGCCCTGGCTGGTCAGGCCCGGCTCTGAGCAGCCGCGTGCATTAAACTCACTGAGCCCTGCCCACAACCTCATGAAGGTAGACACGGCTATCATCCCATTTCTCAGAGCGGCAAACTGAGGCACAGAGAGTTTTCCTAAGTTGCTCAAGTCACACAGCGGGGGCTCAGCGCTGCTTCCCTGTGCTTCTGAGGGTCCAGCATCCTTGGGGGTCTGAGACCCCCGTCCCCACTCCCCTTTGTTGGGGAAGTGTTTCCCGTCACGACCTGTTAAAGTGATCCCTGTATTCAATTCACCCTGTAAAAAAGCCTGAGGAGGTTGAGATGTCCTGGGAGACCCTGATTCTTCCTGGGGGCGGGGAGGGGGGAGAAAGGTTGAGCCACCCACTATTGGCAAATAGGCAGGAAACATTTAAATGGGAGACGCCCCAGGCCAGCAATTCCGTGTCCCTCTGCCTGGCCTGGAAAAGCGATCCAGGGGCCCCGGACAGCAGGTTGGGGACGTTTGTGATGGAGCAACTTCGGGCAGGACCAGAAGGTGCGTCAGCGTCAGCCAGGATTTTTTAACCAGGCGGTGGCGCGGTGACGAGGTGGAATGTCACCCTGCCTGGGGCGAATGAGGCACTGCCGTGCACCTGATGTAGACACACTCGGAGAAAGGTTATGGCGTGAAGGAGGACAAGGCCACTGTGATCAGAAAAATCGAGACGTGACCTCACACTTACAGGAATACAAGGACACACACAGGGATGTGCACGTGCGTAGGAGCGTGTTGCACTTTGCGCTGCGCCCCCAAATGAACAGGTGGAGCCCTAACCCCCAGACCTCAGAATGGGGCCTTATTTGGAAATAGGGTCATTGCAGATGTCGTCAGTTGAATGAGTAACACTAGAATGGGCGGGCCCTGGTCCCATGACTGATGTCCTAATAAAAAGGAACTGTGAGGGCCGGCCCAGTGGCGCAGTGGTTAAGTTCGCTCGTTCCGCTTTGGCGGCCTGGGGTTCGACAGTTCGGATCCTGGGTGTGGACACGGCACCGCTTGGCACGCCATGCTGCGGTAGGTGTCCCACGTAGACAGTAGAGGAGGATGGGCACGGATGTGAGCTCAGGGCCAATCTTCCTCAGCAAAAAGAGGAGGATTGGTGGCAGATGTTAGCTCAGGGCTAATCTTCCAAAAAAAAAAAAGGGAACTGTGGGCACAGACTCATAAGCACAGAGAAAACGTCACGTGGAGACAGAGGCCGAGAGCCGGGTCATGCGTCCACAAGCCAAGGACCGCCAGGGACGGCCAGGACTCCCAGAATCTAGAAGAGCGTGGCACAGACTCTCCCTCCCGGCCCCAGAAGGAACCAGCCCTGATCGAGTCCCCGATCTTGGGCTTCTGGCCCCCAGAACTATGAGATGCTAAAATTTCTGTTGACATTTTCCCAGTTTGTCGGAAAAGTTTTAGTAAGAGACGTAGCAAGCCAATAATGAGGAGCGCCGCGGAGGTGCGGTGGCCTGACGGCACACTTTCCTTTTGTACAAATGAAATCCATTTGCACGTTATTTGCCTCACAAAGTTCATTTCAGAAACAAAGATGTTTAAGATCCTTCGGGGAGCTCGCATTTCTAGGACCACAAATTGGGATATTCTTCCTGGTTTCACACCGTATAGATTTCCAAAGGAAGCACAGAAAGGAATGCGAAGAGAGCAACACAAAATTATGCGACTTTAGACAGCTCTGGTTACTGGTTTTACTGAAAGCTCGGAATTAAGAGCGTTTCACGTTGCTCAGACAAACCGATGTATAATTGGAAAGCAAAATGGATGTGCTTTTAGATAAATGCATGAAGGACAAGAAGTCAAAGAGGATAAATGCTACTTGTCTCTTGCTGGGGTGGAGGAAGGGGTGGCTGGCATGAATTGGACTGAAGACGCTTTAATTTTTTGTAGAGAATAGCCACGCAGCAAGGCCCTTCTCTTGCTGCCAAGGAGGGCCAAGCTGCTTTCAAAAGCAACCTCAAAACCTTTCCTTTCTTTTTGATGTGCCATCTTTGCGCGGTACCTCGCGAGGGGGAAAAGGACGGTTTCTATGGCAACGCCAGCTGTGTCAATCACGCCCAGGAGGCGGGGCTCGGAGGGCGGGGCTTCCTCCCGTCTTCCGGCTTGGACGTCTCACCTGAATTGTTAACCGAGCAGAGGGGTCGCGAGGGAGGAGATCGCACAGCCGATCTGCTGACCAGAGCAGGTCAGGAATGCGGGTCTGTCAAGATTCCAGGGCCGCTCATCCTCCTCGACCCTGGGCTGCCTCTTGGAAAACAGGCTCATTGAGACTTAATTCACACACCATATAATGCACCCATTTAAAGGGTACGGTTCTGTGGCTTTAGTGTATTTACGGAATTATGCAACCATCACCGAAGTCTAATTTTAGAACATTTTGATCACTGAAAAAGAAACCCCATTCTCCCTTGCCACTAATTCCGCAGCCCCCGGCAACCAAAAACCCACTCTGGGTGTGTGGATGCGCCTGTTCCAGACATTTCGCATCAAGGGGATCACACGCTGTGTGCCCTTTGGTGACTGCTTCTTTGACGGTCATGTTGTCAAGGCTCATCTCTGTCGTAGCATGAATCAGCAGTTTATTCCTTTTGATGGTTGAAAATATTCTACTGGATGAATGGGTCACATTTTGCTTCTGTCTGAACCAATTGATGGATATTTGGGTTGTTTCCCCTTTGGGGCTATTGGGAATCCTGCTGCCGTGACCATTCGCGTCCAAGGTGCTGCGTGGACACAGGTTTTTCATCCTCTTGGGCCTGTCCCTAGGGAGTGGAATGGCTGGATGGCACGGTAACTCCGTGTCTATGTCGCCTTTTGAGGAACTGCCCAGGTCACATGGAGGAAATGGACACATGGGGAAAATAAGACGGGGTGTATAGGGTGGGGCTCAAGCCTGGGAAAGCCTCGTGGACGTTTGGCCAAAGACCTGAAGGAGGTTGAGGAGGGAGCCAGGCAGATAAGGGGCGGGCCCTGCAGGTGGAGGGAACAGCCTGCGCAAAGGCCCAGAGGTGGAGATGAGTGACATGGACGTATTGGAGGAGGCCGGCGTGGGGAAAGTGAGGGGTGGAGCGGGGGGAGATGAGGGTAGAGAGGTGATGTGGGTGGCTTATTTAGGGCCTAATGGGCCATCGGGAGCACCACTGGATCCTGGGAGCAGGGCCAGCCCCAGCCCAGGTCAGGAGACGACCAGGCTGCTTCCTGGGGCGGGGGGGGGGGTCCCCAAGATCCCAGGGCAGAGCCTCCTGCCCCTCCATCTTCACGAGCTCCTTGCAGCCTTCCTGTCGCACCACCTTCTTCCAAATGCTTCCAGCCCAGCTCCGGGTCTCAGCTTCGCAGCATCGCATCCTCCTGGTCCCGGACAGCGTCCCCCGTCCCCATTGCACAGGAGGGAAAGCCCCGGCCGCAGGGGGAAAGCCTTGCGGGCCCACAGCAGGGACCGCAGTCCAGTGGATGAATGAGACACCTCCCAGCCAGGTTTGCAGGGTGCTAAGAGCAGGTCTCACCTTGCCCCGGGGCAGGGGGCTGGCCCGAAGGACCGTAACTCCTTCCCTAGCAACCTGCCGCCGTCCCCATGGCAACTGGGGCGGGGCCCCACCGGCTCCGCAGGTGCCCGGATCCCGCAGGGGCGGGGAGTCTCGCCTTCAGCCGCGGAGAAGGAGCCCGCGCCGCGCCTACTGGCCCTTTAAGAGGCTCCGCCCAGCGAGGCCTCAAAGCGTCCTGATTGGTCCCGAGAGCGGCCGAGCGCAGCCGAACTTGACGCACCCGCCCGCAGCCCGACTTACCCACCTCCCACGCGGCGCCGCGGCCGCCTCAGCCAATCGCCGGCCGGCGCGCCGACCTTCATCTGCATGGTCACGCCCCAGGGGGCGGCCGCAGCCAATCGGACGCTCGCGGAGGTGGTCATTAGCATGCCGGGGGCGGGGCGGGGCGGGGCGGAAGGCAGGGGCGGGCTCGGGGCGGTTGGTTGGAGCGTCGCAGCAGCCGAGAGGTCCGGGAAAGTTTCTTTGGAGGTGAAAACAGCCGCGGAACTCGGGGCCCTGCGAGGGGGCGGGGGCGCGGGGGTCCCGGGGCCGGGGCGGGGCCCCTCCTGGGCCGGGACGGGGCGGACTCGGGCCTCCTGGGGGGCGATCGCCCAACAAAGGATCCCTGGGGCGCCCGCCCTCGAGGGCCTCCCCGCCCCCGGATCCGGCCCCCCCAAGCGCCCCGGGCCCGGCATTCCGGGGCTGCCCGGCGGGGCCCCGCCGTCGGCCGCTCGGACGCCCCTCATTCCGCCACGCGTCTGCGTTCCAGGTGCGGCCGGGAGCGGCCATGTCCCACGGCCCCAAGCAGCCCGGCACGGCCGCCGCGTGAGTGCCACCTCCCCTCCCCCAGCCCACTCGGGGTGCAGCCCAGCCCCGCCCCGTCGCAGCTGCTCGACCCCCGCCCCCCAGGGTCCTGACTCCCACAGCTTGGAGCAGCGCCCCCGCTGAGCTCCCAACTGGCCGCCCCCTCCCAGTGCTCCTGTCCCGATCCGTCCTCCCAGAACCCTCGCTGCCAGATCCGCCGTCGGGCGTGGGAGGTGGCGGGTGGGGGTGACCCTGGCGTCCCGTGGCTCCAGGCCGGCGGGCGGCAAGGCTCCGGGCCAGCATGGGGGCTTCGTGGTGGCTGTCAAGCAAGAGCGCGGCGAGGGCCCGCGGGCCGGCGAGAAGGGGTCGCACGAGGAGGAGGTGAGAGCCCCTGCACTGCGATGGGGGAGGCCCTGGGTCTGGCCCCCAGCCTTGAAGCCCCGCCCCGGGCTAGATTTGAATTCGCTGTGGCTCCGCCCACAGTCCAGATTTCCCTCCCGAAGCGGAGGCCCCGCCCCTTGTCAGATGCCACGCCCCCAGGGGGGCCACTGCCACTCTGTGCCCAGGCTCCGCCCACCGCCGAATGCCAGCTCCGCCGTGCTCCCCTCCCTGCGGGAGGCACGTTCCCGTCCTCCTGGCGCCCTTCCGCCAGCTCAGAAGCCACGCCCACGCCCCCAGAGGCCACTCCCACAACACAAGCCAGCCCAATCCCTGGGCTGAACTCCTGACCCCAGTATCTCTGATCCTCTCACCTTGGCCAGGGTTCCCCTAACCTTCCATTCCCAATCCTGACCCCTGACCAGGTCGTAGCTCCAGGCCTCCCAGGTCCCATCTCCTGGAAGGCCCCGCCCACCCCTCTAGCCCCGCCCACGTCGTCCAAGGCCCCGCCCCCTCAGCCCCGCCCCAGCCCTCCAGGCCCCTCCCAACGGCGCAGCCCGGTTCTGCAGCCCGTGAAGAAGCGCGGCTGGCCCAAGGGCAAGAAGCGGAAGAAGATCCTGCCAAACGGGCCCAAGGCACCTGTCACGGGCTACGTGCGCTTCCTGAACGAGCGCCGAGAGCAGATCCGCACGCGCCACCCGGACCTGCCCTTCCCCGAGATCACCAAGATGCTGGGCGCCGAGTGGAGCAAGCTGCAGCCGGCGGAGAAGCAGGTGGGGCCGGCCCGGGACCACTGACCTCCCCCCACCTACTTGGACGCCCCCTGCCAGCCACGTTCCCCAAAGGACCGGCTGTGGAGGGCCCTTCCTTCCGCCCGGAGAAGTGACCACCCATGGGCCCTCTCCGGCTTGTTGAAGGCAGGGGAGGGTAGTCGTAAGCAGAAGGGAGTAAAACAATAACCAACGTGAATGTGTCTAAAGATGTAGGATGGGGTCTGGTCATGTGAAATCTTCCGATTTTCAAATCCTGGCAATTTAGAAATTGCAAAGACATCATGGAAACGTAACAAAACCCACCACCAGTTTGTCCCCTCTAACTGGGACTTCAGCAGGCAGAAGTGGGTGCTGGAGGGCGGTCTAGACATGGGCAGAGCCTGGAGGTGGGAGCCTGTCGTCATCCAGGCCACAGGGAGTGTGGCTTTTAGAAGCTGGAGTTAGGGGGAGGGAGGGAGCTGGGAGGTGCCCTGAGCGGCAGGCCAAGGGCAGGGTTTTGTGTGGAGGGCAGCGGGGAGCTCTGGGAAGGTGCAGCCGAGGGCTGGAGACGGAGTCCTAGCCTCCGAGGCCTCGCCGGCCCCGGGGCTGGCCCGAGCCTTCTGGCGCTGCCCCGCCAGCGGTACCTGGACGAGGCCGAGCGGGAGAAGCAGCAGTACATGAAGGAGCTGCGGGCGTACCAGCAGTCAGAAGCCTACAAGATGTGCACGGAGAAGATCCAGGAGAAGAAGATCAAGAAAGGTGGGGAGGGCCCCGCCCCGCGTCCCGCGTCCCGCCCCCCTCTGTGGCTCGCACAGTCCAGTGGGGACGAGAGATAGGTAACCACAGTTGGGAGTGAGCTGGGCTGATCGGAGCTGAGATGGGGGACACGCAGTCACGGGGACCCCAGGCAGGGAGCCTGTCCCAGGATGAGTAGGGCTGACCAAGGGGGGAGGGGAAGGAGGATATTCCAGTAGGGGGAACAGCATGTGCGAAGTGTGGGGTCAGAGGGGACCTGCGAGGCTGACTCTGCCCTCCTCCCTCCGCCACCAGAGGACTCGGGCTCCGGGCTCATGAATACGCTCTTGAATGGACACAAGGTAAGCGCCACTCCTCCAAGGAGAGCATCTGGGTGAGGGAGGTCTGGAGGTCAAGACCCCTGGGTGAGCCAGGACCAACGCTCATGGGAGGAAGTGAGCACCCCTCCTCCAGGTGTGCAAGCCGAGGAGGGGCAGCCACCCCTGGGGATGTTGGCAAACGGACTCCCACCCAGGGGGCTGGAGGAGACCCTCCCAAGCTTGGTGTATGTCCCAGGGAGAGTTGGGCTGCCCCCTGCCCCCCAAAATTGCCACCTTGTCTTGTCGTCCCAGGGTGGGGACTGCGACAGCTTCTCCACCTTCGACGTCCCCATCTTCACTGAAGAGTTCTTGGACCAAAACAAAGGTGAGCGCTGACGAGCGATCCTTCTTCGTGGGGATTCAGTGGGGGCAGGTGGCGCGGGAGAGGTGGGCCAGGAGGGCGCCCAGACCCGAGTCAGGGTTGGGGGAATTGGCCTGTAGAAGCCAGGTGCCTTGCTCCCGCTTCCCCGGCCCGGGGAGCTCAGGTGTGGGGCTGGAGCGGGACGGGGACGGAACGCCGGCGGGGGTCAGGGCCCGCCTAGGGGACGCGAAGCGGCGCCAGGCGCTGACCCCGGGCCCCGCCCCCCCTTCCGCCGTTGCAGCGCGGGAGGCGGAGCTGCGGCGCCTGCGGAAGATGAATGTGGCCTTCGAGGAGCAGAACGCGGTGCTGCAGCGGCACACGCAGAGCATGAGCAGCGCGCGCGAGCGCCTGGAGCAGGAGCTGGCGCTGGAGGAGCGGCGCACGCTGGCGCTGCAGCAGCAGCTCCAGGCCGTGCGCCAGGCGCTCACCGCCAGCTTCGCCTCGCTGCCCGTGCCCGGTGCGAGCCACGCCCCCAGCGCGCTGTCCCCGCCCCTGCCACGCCCCCAGCCCCCCCGGCCCCGCCCCGAGCTCCGCTAGGCCCCGCCTACTGAGCCCCGCCCACCCAGACCAGCCCCGGGTCCCGCTTGGCCCCGCCCACCGAACCCCGCTAACTCCGCCTCCTGCCGCCGAGCTCCGCCCATCACCCCGCTAGACCCGACCACCTCGAGTCCCGTCCCTCGGCCCGTGACCCCAGCCTGACCCCCGAGCCCTGCTAGCCCCGCCTCACTCCCGACCTCCCTGAGTCCCGCCCGCCAGCCCCGCCCTGGACCCCCGCTAGTCCCGCCCCTGTGACCCTGTCCTGCTAACTCTGCTTTCTTGCCTCTACTGCCCCGCTGACCCCGCCCCTGGCCACTCCGAGCCCCGCCCAATGGGCCGCAGCTCTTTGGCTGCCCCGCCGCCTCGTCCCCGCCTCCCGCCACTGTGTCCCCAGCTGACCCTGGCTAATTCCTTGTCCCTCACTTGTCCCCATATTACCATGACGACCTCGCTCTCTCCAACTTCCACCTTCTGACCCCCACCCACAGCCCACCTCGACTTCCCCGGGTGCAGACGCCCCGGCCCCCCACCCGACCCTCCTGACGCGCGCCAACGGCCCCCTCCCCAGGACCCCGCTCTTCCTCTGACCTCTGTCCCTGTGGCGCCCCGATCGTGGCGACTCCCGCCGGGCTGCGCTGACCGTCCCGCCCCCGCAGGCACGGGCGAGACGCCCACGCTCAGCACGCTGGACTTCTACATGGCCCGGCTGCACGGCGCCATCGAGCGCGACCCCGCCCAGCACGAGAAGCTCATCGTGCGCATCAAGGAGATCCTGGCCCAGGTCGCCAGGTGCGTGCCCGGCAGGACCCCGGGGCCGCTCCGTCCTGGTGGCGCTGCCCTGCCTGGGCGGCCCCTGCAGGAATGACGGGGCTTCGCCCTCCAGTGGGGTTCCCGGGGTCCGTGGGCGTGCCAGGGGGGGTGGGAGGGGTCCCGGTCCCGGGTCGTACTCCGGGGCCACCGCCCTGGGGGATCCTCTGGGTGGGGTTTGCGTGACGCAGGCGGCTAATAGCCTGACCACTGGGGGGCGCCGGTGAGGCCGGTTCTGGGCTCATGTCGCCGGTGGGGGGGGATCTGCCAGCCCCTCTTGGCGGGGGTCCGCTGGAAGGGACCAGAACCTCCCTAGAGCTTCTCGGTGGGTTTTGCTGGGTGGCTCCCGCGGTCCAGCTTGGGTGGGGTCAACTCCGGGCCCCCCCACTCTGGCATGTTTGGAGGAGCTGGGGGTGGGGGTGGGGGCTGAGACGTGATGGGGGTCCCCCATCACCAGTGCCCTCTCTCCCATCACAGTGAGCACCTATGAGGGTGTCGGCGGCCCCGGGATGCAGAGAAGACCAAGTTCTGTGGCAGCCCCTTCCCCACCCCCACCCCATGGAGGAGGGGCGGGGGCCACCCTTTGGGGCCAGGCCCGATCCTGCACCTTGGGGGCTCTAGCCCCCCCTAAAATTAAATTTCTACAGCGTCTTTCTAGCCTCCCACCTCCCCAGCACCGCAACCTAGGAAAACCAGCCGCCGTGCACGACACACACACAACCCTTGGCTCCAGGGCCGGGCCGGGCCGGCTCACCCCCCGGGGCACGTCACACTACAGGGACCTAGGGACACCACACGCGGGCAGTGTAACCGGGACACAAGGGGACCCACGGCGGCTCCCACACCCGGTCACACGCTACACAGCTCTCGAGGACCTGTCCCAGACACCAGGCAGGGGAGACCCCCGCCCGAGACACCAGGACTCCCGGCAGGTGCCCACCACAGGTACCCCCACACGGACAGGCACACTGCAGGGACACGCTTGCACACTCGGGGGGCCCTCCGCCTGCACCCCGGAATGGGGGGGTGGGACTGAGCATCCCGCCCTCACCCAGCCGAGGGACCCTCCTGGAGCGGCCTTTTGCCACCACCTAATCCGGACTTTTAAAATAAAAAGTGGAATTTCAGTTTCAATCTTGTGCGTGTGGGGTTTTTTTGGTGGGGATGGGCCAGAAGATGTGCCCAGGGTCCCCAAGATGCCCCTGCTGGGGGTCCCAGGCCTGCCCCTGGCCCCCACGAGCCTGCTCTCTGTCTGTGGATCTGCCTGTTCTGGACGGTTCACGTCCCTGGGATCACACACCGTGTGTCCTTCTGTGTCTGCTGCTTTCCCTGAGCGTCAGGGGTTCAAGGTCCATCCACGTGCAGCTGTGTCAGGGCCTCGCTTCTTTTTCCTGGCTGAGTAATATTCCAGTGCATGGATGGACCGCGTTGTGTGGGTCCATCATCCCTCGATGCTCATTTGGGCCGTTTCCACCCTCGGGCCGCTGGGAACACACATGTACGGGATTCTGTTTGAACGTCTGCCTTTGGTTCCCTTGTGTGCATCCCCAGGAGTGGGATTGCTGGGTCCTGTCGTGATTCTGTGCTTAACTTACTGAGGAATCCCCTCCGAGACTGCTGCGTTTAATGGCATATTTAAGGCATCCTAAAAATTCGGAGAACTTGACAAACCCCAACGTATGGGGCTGAATGACAGATGCATCAGATAACGGTGCAGCCCTCACCCCCAGCACCTCAGAATGTGCCCTTATTTGGAAATAGGGTCGTTGCAGATATAATTAGTGGAGATGAGGTCATCTCGGAGCAGGGTGGGCCCCAAATCCAATAGCGGTGCTGCCCTTATAAGAAGATAAAGATGCAGACAGACAGAGAGAGGAGACAGCTGTGTGATGACAGAGGCAGACACTGGAATAATGCAGAGCCCCAGGGGACACCAAAGATTGCCGCCACCACCAGGAGCCAGGAGGGGCGAGGGAGGGTTCCCCTGGGTCTCAGAGGAAGCGTGCTCCTGCCCACAAACTGATGAGAACTTCCAGCTTCCAGAACTGGGGGCGAATGCTTTTCTCTATTTTTTTTTTTCCTGGAGGAAGATTAGCCCTGAGCTAACATCTTCTGCCAGTCCTCCTCTTTTTGCTGAGGAAGACTGGCCCTGAGCTCACATCCGTACCCATTTTCCTCTACTTTCTATGTGGGACGCCTGCCACAGCATGGCTTGCCAAGCGGTGCCATATCCGCACCCGGGATCCGAACCGGCGAACCCCGGGCCGCCGAAGCAGAATGTGAGCACTTAACCACTGCGCCACCGGGCCGGCCCCCTACTTTTCTCTTTTAAGCCACCAATTAGTGGCGTCTTGTTCTGGCAGCCCTGGAAGACTGATGGAACCAGAAAGTGTCACGTGCCCTCTCCCTCCAGGTGTGTGCTCCCTAGTGTGACCCCCGCCCTGGCACACGCACCCCCTTCCCAGATTTGGGGTTTCTCATTCCTGGGTGGGTCTTTGCACACCTTCCTACAAGAGCATCATTTTAACAAGGTTGGTTTTTGTTTTTCCAGTTCTTTTTTGAAGTGTGCAATTCTGTGGTTTCTGGTATATTCCCAGAGTTGTGCAACCAGCAGCACAATCTAATTCCAGAAGGTTTTCCTCACTCCAAAAGCAGCCCCGTCCCATTGGCATCACCCCCACCCCCTCCCCAGCCCCCGACACCCACGAGCCCGCTCTCTGTCTGTGGATCGGCCTGTTCTAGACGTTTCCCGTCCATGGGATCACACACCGTGTGTCCTTCTGTGTCTGCTTCTGTCCCTGAGCGTCATGGGTTCAAGTCCGTCCACGTGCGGCTGTGTCACCTTGTGCAGGTTTTTTAAGCTTTACATAAATTTCTCGCATCCTCCAGAGCCTTGGGCGACCTGCCTTTCCCACCCATGTTGGTTTCTGAGATTCCTCCCAGGCCCCTCTGTCGCCCGGCCGTGTGGCAGTCCACCCCCCCGGCCGGCACGCCTGTTTATTGAGCTGAATTTCCTGTGGGTGGAGGCCCAGGGGTTGTATTCCAGCCGATTCTTCCAGGCGCTTCCTGGTGCCTGGAGCCGCCTTCCCCATCTCTACCTTGGGGGTCCATTCACTCCTTCTGCACAGATTGCCTGGGCGCCCACCGTGTGCCAGGCCCAGGGCACCAGGACACAGCCAGGGGAAACGAGAGACCAGAACCCCCGTCCTCCTGGAGCTGACATGCCAGTTGAGGAGGCAGACAGGACCCGAGATGAGTAAGTAAAATATCTGGCATGTCAGGTGGTGTTCAGGGCTGGGGGGAGAAAGCAAGCTGGGAAGAGAGACCAGGAGGAGGTGGTGAGAGGAGCGACATTTGAGTAAGGAGCTGAAGGAGGTGAGGGAAGACGTTCCAGGTGGCAGGCACAGCTTGTGCAAAGGCCCTGAGGCAGGTCTGGGCCTGGCGTATATGAAGAGCAGCGAGGAGGCTCGTGTGGCTGGAGCAGAGGGAGGATGAGGAGAGAGGGAGGATGGAGGGCAGGGAGGGGACAGGCAGCTCCTGGGGGCCTGGAGGATAGCAGGGAGGCCTCAGGCCTCCTCCTGGAGGAAGGTGGAGCCTGGGGGACTGCGGGCAGAGGAAAGACCGGATGTAGCTCAGGTTATACCAAGGTGACCATCCTACCCACCTCCTAGGGTTGTTGCAAGGACGAATAGGTGCGCCTAGCAGAGAGTGAGCGCTGGCACACGCTCAGCTGTCCCCGCCCCTAATTATCCACCATCCTTGTTGTTCCCGCGCACGCCCGGCGGCCCAGGGGAGCGCGCAGCTGGCCCCGGCAGGGCTCGGACACCTGGGGCCCGGCCCCTCCCCGCACCCCGCGGTGTCGTCTTGCCGGGCGGCTCGTGTTCCCGGATCCCCTTACCCGGGCGGCTCGGCTGTCGCGCCCTGGGCCGGGGGAGGGGAGGCTGCAGGAAGCGGCGGATCCGGCGGCGGCGGCGACGGCGGCCCGGGTGGCCGAGCGCCTCGGGCCATGGAGAGCGCAGCGGCCCGCGAGCCCCAGGGGGCCGAGGCCCCGCGCCCGTCCGCGCCCCCACCCTCGCCCGCGGAGCCCCCCGCCGCGCCCCGCGCCCGCCCGCGCCTCGTCTTCCGCACGCAGCTGGCGCACGGCAGCCCCACGGGCAAGATCGAGGGCTTCACCAACGTCCGCGAGCTCTACGCCAAGATCGCCGAGGCCTTCGGGATCGCGCCCACCGAGGTGAGGACCACCGGGTGGAGGTGGGTGGAGCCTGGATCCCTGGACTGGGGGCCCCGGATCCCCATCCCCGGATGGAGGGGCTTCGATCTCCAGATCTCAGAGACGCACCTCTCAGATCCCGGGGTGCCCATACCGCGGGGAGCCCCCTTTTGCATGCCCTGCAAGAAGGATGAGCAGGTCTTAGGGTAGGTGGATCCCCAGACCGTCCAGGAAACCGTTCTGCCGCCCCAGCCGGACTGGATCCCGGCCCTTGGGGAGGTTCCTGGGCGCGGCGGGGGCTGGGGTTCCGCAGCCACTTTCCAGCGGAGAAATCAGAGGTCGCAGGGGTCAGGGGCTGGGCCGCAGAGCAGTGCGCCTCGCAGCCCCCAGGGGGCGCCCGCAGCTTCGGACAGGCCCGAAAAGGACGGTCTGGGGGTGTCCGGGGGTGGGGGAGAGGGGGTCTCCTCCTGGCCGCGGCCTCCTTCTCACCCCGCTCCCCATTCCGGGGGTCCCAGCCCTGCCATTTCCCAGGGGCTGGGATCCTGGGTGGTAGGGTGACCGGGGCCAGTTCCATGCCTCTTTGTGCCTCAGTTTCCCCATCGGGCCCCAGAGCCCATCGTCCCAGCCTTTGTGCGCAGACGGCGGAGGTGCCCGCTTAGGTAATTCTGGGCTCCTCCTCTCCCCCCGGGACAGATCCTGTTCTGCACCCTGAACAGCCACAAAGTGGACATGCAGAAGCTCCTGGGCGGCCAGATCGGGCTGGAGGACTTCATCTTTGCCCACGTGCGCGGCGAGACGAAGGAGGTGGAGGTCACCAAGACGGAGGACGCGCTGGGACTGACCATCACGGACAACGGGGCGGGCTACGCCTTCATCAAGGTGCCCGCGGGGGCGGCGGCTTCCCCGGTGCTGGGTGACCTGGGGCGAGCCACCGCCCCTCTCTGGTCTAAGGGGGCTCTGGGGGACCCGAGGGGGGGTGGCTGCGGTGGCCCCGTGAGTGACTCCGGGTCCCTGCAGAGGATCAAAGAGGGCAGCATCATCAACCGCATCGAGGCCGTGTGCGTGGGCGACAGCATCGAGGCCATCAACGACCACTCCATCGTGGGCTGCCGCCACTATGAGGTGGCCAAGATGCTCCGGGAGCTGCCCAAGGCCCAGCCCTTCACCCTGCGCCTGGTGCAGCCTAAGAGAGCCTTTGGTGAGGGCCGCCTGGCACCCAGGGGGCAGGCGGAGAGGGGGCTCCCTGGGTGCCCGGGGCCGGTGGAGGGTGGGGGATGGGACAGGATGGAAGGTTCTAGATGCCCCTGTTGACATGCCAGGGGGCTTCTGGCACTGTATCAGGACCAGGTAGGTAATTTCTAGACTGTTATAGAGTCAGTCCGGGCAGGGCGGGGAGCTTGGGAAGACGCGGATGGGACCAGGAAGTGTCTCCATCTATTTTGTGACCTGGCCGGGAGCCTTGAGGCCCTGGTGAGTTCTGGAGAATGGTTTTCGGAGGGAGTTCTAGAAAGATGCTTTCAAAGAGAAGCCTGAGGCTGGTCCACCCATGAGCGAAGGAGCCGGCCCCGGAGGGGTGCGCAGCCTCGGCACCAGCGATGTTTGGGGCCCCGGGTCGTTCTCCGCGGGGGGGCCGTCCTGTGCGCTCAGCAGGTGCCAGGGGCCACCCCCGAGTGGTGACAACCAAAATGCCTCCAGACATTGTCAATGTCACCCCCCCCCCACCATGGCCTGGTCAAGAACCCCCACTCTAGAATGTAGATCGTCAGTTTTATTTTGGCAGACTTTTTTTTTTCACAGCAAGGCTTTTCGGAGGAAGAAAGCAGCATGTCGGTCTCCATCTTAGCACAACCTTGTTATGTCCTTCGAGTAGCCTTGTTCTAGAACAAGAAGGTCCAGAAGTGCCCTGGTACGTCTGGAGGGAGGGCCCAGGGAGAGCGGGACAGGACTGGGCCGGGAACCTGCGCTGCATCCATCACAGCGGGGGACGCCTCTGGGAGCCACCTCGAAAGTGAGAGAGAGCCGGTGGCGGAGCCAGGATTCTTCTAGATTCTGGCCGCTGGAGGGTCTTAAGCCGTCCCTTTTAGAGAGAGTCATTTTAAGAAGCCGAGGGAGATTTCAGGGACAAAAGGATTCCCAGGCAGGGTGTCTGAAGATTACCCACAGATGGAAAGAGGCCTTGAAGGATAAGAAGGTTCTAGAAAGGCTCCGAGTGGCTTCCGAAGTGGTTTACAAAGATGCGGATCCGCCCGGGACACGCACCCCACCCCCACTCTGTCCCCTCCAGATATGATCGGCCAGAGGAGCCGTGGCAGCAAGTGCCCCGTGGAAGGAAAGGTGACCAGCGGGAGGGAGACCCTGCGGCTGCGTTCGGGGGGCGCCGCCACGGTGGAGGAGGTGGTGAGTTCGGGGACGGGGTCATCAGGGGCTCTCCCTCTGGTGCTCAACCTCTGACCTGTGACCTTGGGCAGGACCCTCTGCTTTCCCCGGCCTCAGTTTCCACCCCCCCCCCCCTGCAAAATGGGTCCTCGTTGTGGGACCAGAAGCGGTGACTGACGTGAGGTCCCAACCTTCTCCCATCTGAGGGGTGAGGGGAGGCGGGCAGGGGCTGGGCTGAGGGGTCCAACCCCCCGTTCCGCACCCCTGTGCCCCCAGCCTGGTGAATTCGAAGAGGAGGCGACACGGAGGGTGGACGACCTGCTGGAGAGTTACATGGGCATCCGGGACCCAGAGCTGGGTAAGGGGCCAGGGTAAGCCGGCTGGACCCCGGGGGGGAGGACAGCGCAGAGGAGGCGGGGCCCCGGGGGACATGGGGGCCGAGGAGCCCGCCACCCACACCCTCCCCACGGCCCACAGCGTCCACGATGGTGGAGACGTCCAAGAAGACGGCGAGCGTCCAGGAGTTTGCGCGCCTTTTAGACTCCGTCTTGGGCGAGTTCGCCTTCCCGGACGAGTTCGTGGTGGAGGTGTGGGCCGCCATCGGCGAGGCCAGGGACGCCTGTGGCTAGGCTGCCCCGGGGCAGCGCGCAGCCCCAGCCCGGAGCCCGGACCCCCGCCCCAGCCCCCACCTGAGATCCAGCCCTGCTCCAGAGCCAGGCTCAGCTCTGAGACCCAGCCCCAACCCGAGAGCCAGCCCTGCTCCAGAGCCAGGCTCAGCTCTGAGACCCAGCCCCAACCCGAGAGCCAGCCCAGCTCCAGAACCCAGCCCGGTTCCCAAACCCAGCCCTCCTCTAGAATCCAGGACAGCTCTGAGGCTAAGCTGAGCTCTGACACCAAGTCCAGTTCTGGAACCCAGACAAGTTTTAAGACCCAACCCAGCTCTCCGACCAAGCCCCGCCATAAAGCTCCACCCAACTCTGGAACGCAAGACAACTCCGTGACACAGCCACACCTGGACACCCGGTCTAGCTCAGGAACGCCAGTCAGTTCTGGGACCCAGGCGAGACTCCAGAAACAGCCCAGCTACAGAAGCCACGCCAGCTCAGGACTCAAAGACGGCTCCCCGAGGCAAGCCCATGCACGGAGCCAGCCCAGCTCAGGAACTGAGAGGCACGCTGCAGCTCCGTCAAGATCGAGACCCCAGCCCTGCTCTGAAACCCTGCGACACTCCAGTACGTATCCCCATCCTGGGGCCCAGTCCAGCTCCAGTGCCGAATCCAGCTCAGAGACTGAGCTCAGCTCTAGAACCCAGCCCAGTGCCACAACCAGGCCCATCTCCAGAATTCAGACGAGCTCTGGAACCCCATCCATCTCCGAAGCAACGCCCGCCTCCAGAACTCAGCTTGATGCTGAGCCCCACTCTCACCGCAGAACGCAGACCAGCTCTAGAATGCTGTCCAACTCCGGGACCCAGACCGACTTCAGCGCCTGGCCAAGGGCCAGAGCTCAGTCCAGCTCAGGCACTCCACCCAGCTCCAGAACCCAACTCACTTCTGGAGCACAGACTGGCTCTGAAGTCCCAGCCGGCTCCAAAATGCGGTCAGTGGCAGAGACCCAGGTAAGTTCTGGAATCCAGGCAAACTCTGGAATCCAATCTAGCTCTGGGACCCAGACCAATGCAGCAACAGACTTGGGCTCCAGAACTCTGTCCAGCTCCGATAGCAGGCCCAGCTCCAGGATCCAGCCCTGCCCAGGAGCTCAACCAACCTCTGAGACCCAGCTCATCTCGAAAACCCTGACAAGTTCTAGATACCAGCTCCAGGCCACAAGCCAAGGCGGCTCTGGTATTGAGCTGGACTTTGGAAAACAGACCAGCTCTGGAGCTCAGCTCATTTCTAGAGCCCAGCCCAGCTCCGGGACCCAGGCCAGTGCAAGAATTCAGCCCAGCTCCAGGATTCAGTTCAGCTCTGAGACCCAGCCCAGGTCAAGAATACAGCTCAGCTCTGGAGCCCACCTTAGTTCCAGAACCCAGCCTATTTCTGGAACCCAACCCAGCTCCAGAACTCAGACCAGTTCTGGAACTCAGTTCAGCTCTGAGACCCAGCCCAGCTCTGAAACCCAGACTAGCACAAGAATTCAGCCTAGCTCTGGAGGCCAGCTCGGCTCCAGAACCCAGCCCAGCGCTGAGACCCGGCTCAGCTCTGAGACTCAGCTCGGCTCCAGAACCCAGGCCACCTCCAGGATTCAGTTCAGCTCTGAGACCCAGCCCAACTCTGAAACCCAAACCAGGTCAAAAGTTCAGCCCGGCTCTGGAGCCCACCTCAGTTCCAGAACCCAACCCAGCTCCACAACCCAGACCAGTTCTGGAACCCAGTTCAGCTCTGAGACCCAACCCAGCTCTGGAGCCCACCTCAGTTCCAGAACCCCGCCTATTTCTGGAACTCACCCCAGCTCCAGAACCCAGACCAGCTCAAGAATCCAGCTCAGCTCTGGAAACGGGCTCCGTCTGCAGACCCCTGAGCTTGACTCTAGAACCCAACCCGAGCCCACTCCCCCAGCCCGACCTCAGGCCCCAGGCCCACCACCCGGAGGCCCGGCTCCGGTCCCTAGCAAAGTCTCTCGGCCTCAGGCCCAGCCCCATGATCTGGTACATGGAACCCAGGCCGACACTGGCCGGGGCCAAAGCCCACCAGCTTCCCACCTGGCCCCCCCACCACAGGCCCCCTCAGCCCCCCAGAAACCAGCCCTCTCCCCTAAGCCTCAGCTGGGACTCCAGAAGTCCACATCACCCCTCATATCTAGTCCTGCCCCCAGGGCAGCCCTGCTGTGTTCCCGGCCCTCTGGACCCCCAGCTCGGGGGCCGGCCCCCTCCCCCAGCTTCCCCGTGCTCAGGGGGGCAGGGCCCCTCCCCCATCACAGGGGGCCGTAGCTTGGGCGTGACCTAGTTTTGGCATCCGTGGCGCCCACCTCTGCTCCCCTCCTCCCAGCCCTGGTCCCCCAGAAGCAGCAGGTGACCTCGTTCTCCCAAGGCGGGGGTGGGAGGGGGGCAGGGTGGAAACAGGTGTTTCGGTTTCACTGGGGCCTGGCTCCGGCAGGTGTAAGCAGATCCCAGCTCTGCGGAGGGGAAAGGGGGGCGGGGGGGGTCCCTTCTCGTGTACCCCGAGGGCTGGCGGGGAATAAAGGCACCTCCACCCCCTGCAGCCGGTGTGTCGTGTTGGGGGGAGAGCACAGGAGGGGGAGGGCACGAGGGTGGGGGGCGGGGCTGCCATGGTCGCCATGACAACTCCGGATGCTTCTTAAGCGCCTCCCACGTGCCAGGCGCCTCACGAGGTGCTCACTGCGCGTGCGCTCGTCGTCTGGGGGCATCAGCGGGGTCTTTGCGCAGCGACCCCCGGGAACCCGCCCGGCGACGACCCCGAGACCGGAGGCGGGAGGCGCCGGGACCCGCCCGGACGCGGTTGCGTAGCAACCGGATGCAGGAAACTTCAAGGATCGACGATGATTGACGACTTCCGGACGCAAAGGACAATAAAGCCAGGCTGGAGATATATTTTGGCGAGAGAGGGGGTGTCCTGCCCGTTCCCATTCAGTCTTTTCTAGACAGAGCCTTCTGGGGCTGGGGGGGGTCAAAGGGAATCCACTGGACCCCAGGAAGCAGGTCACGGGGGTCAGAGCCCCCCATTTCCCAGGCTTTCTGGAAGGGGCGGCTCACCGGTCTGACCCCCTCCCAGCACCCCCACACGCCCTTCCCGGGGGGAGGGACTCAGGGGAGGGGACTCAGAGCGGGCAGGATGGAAAGGGGGGCCGGGGCGGGGGTGGGCTCCCCAGGAAGTCCGCAATCCTGCCGCTCAGACTTTGTCCATCCCGCAGCCCGGCTCCACGAGCTCCGGGCCCCGCGATGTGACCGTGAGGGGCCCCAAGGTTCAGCGGGGGACACGCGGGCGGCGCGCTCTGTCCGGCTGTCCTTCCGGAGCCGCCGCCGAGGTGTCCACCGCCCCCCAACCCCGGGCCTACTGCAGGGAGGACCTGAGGGTCAGCTGGGGCTGCAAGGACAGCGACCTGGGCCGCGTGCTGAGGCGCGGGTAGAGGCGCCGCATCACCGCCCGGCGGAACAGGATGTACATCCAGGGGTCCAGGATCTGGTTCCACGTGGCCACGCGCAGGTAGATGAGCAGCTGCTTCTCCGTGGCGCGCGGCAGCTGCCCGCTCGGGCCCATGGCCGGCGGGCTCCGCAGCACCGTCTGCGCGATGAAGGCCTGCGGGGGTCGGAGGGTCAGCGCGGCCAGCCCTGCCCCCCCCCCCGCCCCCCCCCCCCCCCCCCCCCCCCCCCCCCCCCCCCCCCCCCCCCCCCCCCCCCCCCCCCCCCCCCCCCCCCCCCCCCCCCCCCCCCCCCCCCCCCCCCCCCCCCCCCCCCCCCCCCCCCCCCCCCCCCCCCCCCCCCCCCCCCCCCCCCCCCCCGCCCCCCCCCCCCCCCCCCCCCCCCCCCCCCCCCCCCCCCCCCCCCCCCCCCCCCCCCCCCCCCCCCCCCCCCCCCCCCCCCCCCCCCCCCCCCCGCCCCCCCCCCCCCCCCCCCCCCCCCCCCCCCCCCCCCCCCCCCCCCCCCCCCCCCCCCCCCCCCCCCCCCCCCCCCCCCCCCCCCCCCCCCCCCCCCCCGCCCCCCCCCCCCCCCCCCCCCCCCCCCCCCCCCCGCCCCCCCCCGCCCCCCCCCCGCCCCCCCCCCCCCCCCCCCCCCCCCCCCCCCC